GCTACTATGCCCGACGCGAAAACGGATGCAATCGAATGGTTTGTGTATCGAAGATGAAGAGAAAAAACAACAGATAAGAACTAACAGTATACAATGGTCCTCACACATGTTGTGATGGAGGGGTTAACCAAGATCATCCTAACTTGGACTCTGAAGTGATATACCAAGCCATCATGCCCTTGGTAAAAGCAAGCTCTCATATAGTTGTTCCTGTGTTGATTTCAGCTATACAATCACAGTATGGGTACACTGTCTCCTATAAAAAAACTTGGTTGACAAAACAAAATGCCATTGTCAAACTTAATGGCGAATGAGATGCATCTTACAACGAACTTCCAGGCTGGTTTAGGCTGGTGCAGAGGTTGAATCCTGGGACAATTGTGGACTTCGAAACCTCCTATGCATACCATAATGATCGAGTTCTTCGCGATCGATGCCAATTCTACCGGGTTTTTTGGACTTACTCACAGTGCGTTAATGCTGTCAAATATTGCAAGTCTGTGGTCCATATCGACGGGACTTTCTTGTATGGAAAATACAAGCAAGTATTATTATTAGAAGTTGTCCAATATGGCAATCGTAACATTCTTCCAGTTGTTTTTGCTCTTGTTGAAGGAGAAGATATAGATTCTTGGGCTTTTTCCTCCGAAACTTACGTGCACATGTTATCACGAGGGGAAAAATCTGTATCATTTCAGATCGCGGAGCTGGGATCAAAGTAGCAATGGAGTCTTTGGGTCCAATGTGGAAACCACCCTTTGTCCAACATAGGTATTGTCTCCGACACATTGCTGCGAACTACCATGGAAGGTACAAGAAGAATGATGAGCGTCAATTAATTGTGCGCATGGGTAAGTGAAACTGATGTAGTTTATTTTCTTTCGATCATTTTAATTTTGCAAAGAAATCAAGTTAGTATGTTATACATTTTTTTATCAGGTTACGAACTACTTCCTCAAACGTTTGAATCAATGCTTCAAGATTTACGGGCGAAAAATGAGGAAGGATACGATTACATCAGCCACTTCGATAAAGAAATGTGGACGAACGCATATGATGGTGGATATCGATATAGACACATGACGACCAACTTAGCTGAGGCAATCAATTCAACCTTAAAGGGTGCACGCCACTTACCTGTAGCGGCTTTGGTAAAAACTCGGGGACAAGCTCAAACCTAGATGCAAGGCGGTCATGTCTATTACCCTAGATTAGTTGGAGATTTACAAAAAAAATTGCTGCATCAAATGGAATGTCTGTAACAAGCTTCTCTAGAAGACATGAAATGTTTTGGTCACAGAGTTGTCGCGACCTCTTCAAGGGATTGAATTTGTATCGTTAAGAGTAAATCTACGGGACAGAACGTGCGACTGCGGGTTTTTTCAAGCTCTGAAGTATTCATGCTCTCATGTGATAGCAGCTTGCTCGCATACACGTCAAGACTATAATTGTTTTATGGATCCCTTATACCTACTATTTGAAGTTTTTAAGGTATACGGATTTGAGTTCCCCCTATAGGTAATGAAAAAGACCCTGATGAGGTTCAGGATTAGCTTCTGATTATACCAAATCCAACTTTATTGAGGGAGCGTGGTTATTCAAAATCCAATCGAATTCATTGTGATATGTATATTCGAGAAAGATCTAGACAAGACAGAAGATGTGGGTATTGTAGAAACCCATGACACACTAGAAAAACATGTCCACTTCTGCTGTCATCAAGTAATAATTGATGAGGAACTGATGTAGTTGTTTATCAAATAAGAATTCTTATACTTTAATTTGCATTTACTTCAAGTTAATGTCATTCGATCTTACAATAAGTGACAAACTAAAGAAAGTTATCGAACACAATTATTAAATTTTATCATAACAATAATAATTTGGTATTTGAATATAATTTTAAATACAAAAACTTACAATAAGTATTAAATGGTAAATGATAAACAAATTACAATAACTGATATTAAATGGTAATAAACAAAATTAACCAAAATACATTAACAAAAAGTCCAACAAATTTAACAAAATAAATTAAAATAAATCCAACCAAATTAATGAAATAAAGTAAGTATTAAATGACAAATAATAAAAAAATTACAATAAAAAAGTTCAATAAATAACTAAATACAAATATAATAAAAAATATCTATCGATGCCTGCGACGCGAATGTGTTACGCAGGGCGGTGGCTGTCGGTCTCGAGGAGGATTTATTCGTATCAGTGGTGGTGACTCCTCGCTGCCATCATCATCACCATTATCGTCGTCGTTATCGTCGTCGTGAGCAGCTACATTAGGTTGATGAGGAGCTGATGACGATGAAACACCTCCATAGAATAAGGACCCTGGAGGTGTATGACTGACTATCCCACCGGCCTGCGAAAACTGGGAAAACTCATAAAACCCAGACATCGCTGAGTGTGAAAACTGTACAGGAGGCGTCTGTGCTGCGGCCATGGGTGATGAGGCTAAACCCGCCAAAATGTGGGCATATGAACCTCAAGTCGGATATGCAAACATAAACCCATAATATCCTCCAGGAGGGGTCATAAAACTCTGTGACGGTGGCGGCGACGGGTCATAAAACCAGGTGATAGTGGCAACGGCGTCATAGGGTAAGGGAACGGCGATGGCGACATCACATATTGTTGCAGAAGGTAAGTCGTTATAGACAGTGGCTGCTGTGAAAGTCCTGCTGGTGCAGCTGAGGATGAACCGGAAGCACCTGCTCTCCGACCACGAGTCGGGGGACGATGGTGCTGTGTCGGTGAATATCTCTGTCGACATCGCTGAAAGGTTCACCCTCGTGCATCCTCGGAAAGCAGAAACAATTTCCCATTACTGTTGAACCACTCGTAATAACCATTAGCAACCATCAAGAGATCAGTATAAATGAGCTCTCTACGGGCAAGGCGCAGATGTCGATCCTCCCACAGCACGACCCACTCGTGATGCCTCACCAGCCAATCTGTATCGATCTTGCTGCGTCTATCTGTGCTATGCAACTCGTCCATATTGCGAGGTACTTCCAGAATTGGTTGAAAACAACCAAATTACCGGAGCACACGATCAGTGGATTGCTACTCGACGATTGCATAACAGATCAAAGGGACCATCGCCATCCAAACATCTAATGGGTCCCTCAACTCAGGTGAGATCACAATCCTCACATCATCATTAGAATATGACACCCATTCAAACTAAAATAAGTATATATAATTTTTATCAAAATAATAATCTAATTATACAACTATAATCTAAAATCGATTTTTAAACATTAAAAGGCATACCTATGTGCCAGCCTTCTAATCGATTAACACCCTAATTTTTTCTAAATCATCAGGTAGCTCCTGATGATTTTTCTTATCAGTAGACCACATATTCAAAGAAAACAAAATTTATTATACACTGTATAAAATGATTAATATACGAAATCAGTTTTATAATTACCTCAAGAGTAGTGGAAATACGAATGGGTTCTTGACAACGGGACATAAAAAGGACAATCGATACCATGCCCAAGACTACAGCAGCAGGAGACATCCGCCGATAGCATTTTTCTTGTAGTCAGTGGCTCGACACATCTCCCTGTACAGGAAAACCAAAACTGTCGAGCCCCAACTGAGTGATCCGGCCAGACGAAAGTTGTTAAGATGTCGCAACCACATACAGTGAAATTGGTTATGCTATTTGTCCGGCATCAGTAACCCTCCTATCAGCTGCAGTATGCATGCCTATGCATACATTTTAACTTCATCATCAGACGCGTCCCCATTCAACTCCCGAAAATTGGCATCTAACCAATTTAACGATATCCGGACCACCGTTAAAACTTTCCGAGACACGTTCTAGATAGTCCCGGCACAAAACAGTCCATGACCCCGATATCATATCTCCATCCACCGGAAGCCCCAGGTGCATAGAAACATCCTCAAGTGTAATTGTGCACTCTCCGCACGGAAGATGGAATGTGTGGGTCTTCGGCCTCCACTAAGACAGAAATAAGGTATGTTCTATCTTACAGTGACCCTCATATCTACCTATATGACCGAATACAACCTCTACTAAATACGACAATACACAGCTAGGTATCACTAACTTAAGGTTCCTAATAAAAAGACCTAATACACGGTCCCTTTCCTAAAATTAAATAATTACAAAAATTAATTTTTAAACTAATAATCATGCATTAAATAAATAACTAAATTATTACTAAAAAATTAAATTATATTAAAACGATAAAATGTTACTGTATCAGCAAAATGTCGTGATATATGATTTATATTCAACGAAGTAAACATCCTTCCATTTTATATCTGTAAAAAAATAATTAAATAAAATATTAAAAAATTTAAATACTTAAATAAATTAAAAAAATATTAAATTTAATAAAATATACCTTAAACAGTTAAAATAGAATATAAGAGTACTTGAAAGAAGTTGAGAGGATTTGGTGTGATGAAAGTGATTGTGAATGGGGTATTTATGGGGAAGGGGTGGGTGTGAACGACCAGGGTAGGTGAGTAATTAAATCTAAGGCGCGTCGCATGAGACGCGCCTTACTGACACGTGTCAGATTTAAAGGTAAAACGCGACTCCTGTCCCGCGCTATATCCCACGTGACGTCAGATCAACGTAAAACACGTTTTAGAAGTGCTCTTCGGGAGCGACCTTACCACATGTGACGCCAGATCAACAAAAATCTCGTTGTAAGGGACACGTTTTACTATAAAAGATGTTACATCAAAAAATAATTTAAAAGATATCTAATAGAAAAATATAAAATTAAATGGTGATATAAAAAAAAAAACGCCCGGAAAAGAAATGCTTTTTTTTGGAGGATCATTTGGTGACTGTCACCAAAACACCCGAGGCTATATGAAACAGTGTCAAAACAATAAGACAAAAGATCTCTGGCCATTAATAACTGAAAACTCAGACTAACAATTCAAAAAATATTTTTGTTTTTGTTCTCTGCTAGTTTTGCTTAAGAGTATCACTGTTAAAAGCGAACAGGCAAAGGCTACCCTTTTGTAGTTTCCTAGTTGATAACTTGGGTTTCCCTTTTGGGTTCCTTCAAGTGTTGCTTTTTTTTCTTCTTTCATGGCAGATCTCGTTTTTCTCAAGTAAAGAGAAAAGGGTTGCTCATTCCTTCTTCAAGGGAAAGCTTTTCATTGTTTGGTGGATGATTGAGTGAAAAAAGAAATGATTTTTCTGGATTAGCTTTTTCCGAAAGATAATTAAGGCACTGCCAACTTTGGAATTATGAGTTATTTTTCCTCTGTCTTGCATTTATATAAATCCTTCGAATTTGAAGCGAAAATCCGACAATAAAGCTGTAACAGCCACCCTAAAACTGTGGTTTCTTGCTCTTAAAGGCAAAACGAGATAAATACACACACTTCTCTCCCCCTTCTTATTTTCTTTGACATCAGTTAAAGAAGAGCTTGAGCTGACTTCTGGGTGGTCTCTCACATTTGTTGTCAAGGATCTGTCTTTTTCATAGTCTATTTCCTCTATTTATAAGGTAACATTAATCGATATATTTGAGGGTTCATGTTCTAAAATAACATTCGTTTTGTTTTGGTTTTATTTTTTGTGTTTGTGTTGGATTTATAGAGAAGAGAAAGAATGTCTGGAGAGAAACAGGCGGAGGAAGCCATTGTTCCAAGCTTCAACGACACCATGGATCATGAAGAAAAAGATGAAGAAGAGGGAGATCATTCCATTTTCAGTGTCAAGAGCTTGCTTTGGCATGGTGGTTCTGTTTATGATGCCTGGTTCAGTTGTTCTTCTAATCAGGTAACCAAACCAGTGTAAAAATTGGTTCTTTTTGTTCTCTTTAGCTGATGAAAGTTTCTTCTTTTGCAGGTGGCTCAAGTTCTATTAACATTACCATACTCTTTCTCTCAAATGGGAATGCTCTCTGGGATCATTCTGCAGATCTTTTATGGTGTTCTTGGAAGCTGGACAGCTTATCTGATCAGTGTTTTATACATTGAATACCGAAGCAGAAAGGAAAAAGAAAATGTCAGCTTTAAGAATCACGTTATCCAGGTTAGTTTCTAAAAATCATAAAACCCTTTGAAAAAGATAGTTTTTCTCACATTATATTTTTCAAAATGCAGTGGTTTGAAGTGCTGGATGGTCTATTGGGACCTTACTGGAAAGCTATTGGATTGGCCTTTAACTGCACTTTTCTTCTCTTTGGATCTGTGATTCAACTAATAGCTTGTGCAAGGTTTTTTTGTCACCTTAAACTTCTTTCCATGTTTTTTTTATTTCAATCAAATGGTTTCTCATTTATGTTTGTTAGAGTTGATTTACAGCAACATATATTACATAAACGACAAGATGGACAAGAGGACATGGACATACATCTTTGGAGCTTGTTGTGCCACAACAGTGTTCGTCCCTTCATTCCACAACTACAGAATCTGGTCCTTTTTGGGGCTTGGGATGACCACTTATACTGCATGGTATTTGACCATTGCTGCTCTTGTTCATGGCCAGGTAAACAAAAACAAAGAAAAGAGTTGAATTTGATCTAAAAAAATTTCAAAAATTTTAACTTTTCTGTTTGTAGGTGGAAGGTGTAACTCACCAAGGTCCAACTAAGTTGGTTTTGTACTTCACTGGCGCCACAAATATCCTCTACACTTTTGGCGGACATGCTGTCACGGTGTAGGTGTTGCTATTAAAGAATAAATTACTTCTTGCTTTCTTTTATTGAACAAAAATGCAGTGAAAACTGTAGAAAAAGAAGAAAACAGGACTCTTAGTTCTTACAATAGGATATTATTAGCAGCTTTTGCTTGCAGTTATCGGGATTTGAGAAAGAGACAGTTTTAGAAACAGATTCATTAATACTCCTTTGTTACCATTGAGTCAATGTTTACGGTTTGGTATCTTTATGTCTCCTGTTTTGATCAACAGTGTAGTGAATATTAAAATTTACATTGTAGAATCATCAATTCTGGTTGGTTGGTAATTTGCAAGTTCTAATGGTTAATAATTGCATGGGGTCAAGGCTTTCCCCCCTCTTTAGCTTTAGGAGATTATGTTACTCGATACGTTAGCGAACGTATTGCCGAATACGTGTCCGGATATTCAATTATAATGGGTGTCAGATACAAGTTTTGTATATATATGATGAATTTTGATGTTTGCAGTGAAATTATGCATGCAATGTGGAAGCCTCAAAAGTTCAAGTATATATATCTATTGGCTACACTCTATGTGTTCACCTTGACCCTCCCATCCGCTGCCGCCGTTTACTGGGCTTTCGGTGATCAACTCCTTGACCATTCCAATGCGTTTTCACTCCTCCCACGGTCTGGTTGGCGTGATGCAGCAGTTATCTTAATGCTAATCCACCAGGTTTGTGGATACCGTGTAGATGGGTTTTATGCTGTCATTACTGTCTTTGATTAGTGAAATTGACTCGACGAATTGGTTTGGCATCCGTTTTTTTCGCAGTTTATCACCTTCGGGTTCGCCTGCACGCCGCTGTACTTTGTGTGGGAGAAAGTAGTGGGGATGCATGACACAGAGAGCATTTGTTTGAGGGCTGTATCCCGGTTACCTGTGGTGATACCTATATGGTTCTTGGCTATTATATTTCCTTTCTTTGGTCCCATTAACTCGGCTGTAGGATCTCTCCTGGTTAGCTTCACTGTCTACATCATCCCTGCCATGGCTCATATGCTCACTTATAAATCGGCCTCTGCACGAAAGGTAAAATTTGTAGACTGTTCTCATCATTTTTCGGATCTCTGCTTGGACTTACTGTTTTAGATGAAATTGACTGCTACAATATAATTTACCAGTCTTGCTAATTTGCAAACACGATTCAAGACATACGATTGTTGGTCGATTTCATGTCCCAAGTCACTGCTGTCTTAACTTCACTCATTAGTATTTTGTGGTTCATGTATGAACAGAATGCAGCCGAGAAGCCTCCTTTCTTCCTCCCGAGCTGGACAGCAATCTATGCAGTGAATGCAGCTATCGTGATATGGGTGTTCGTAGTCGGATTCGGATTGGGAGGTTGGGCTAGCATGACGAATTTTATCAAGCAAGTCGACACATTCGGACTCTTTGCCAAGTGCTACCAGTGCCCGGCTTCAACATCAAAACATCACTGATTCAAGAACTTCGATTTGAACTCGAAACCCCCCCTTTTTGTTTGTTCGTTTGTTTACATTCCGATGACGATGCATAGCCGGAGTTCCGAATATTTCAGTGTGCCGTAGTTACCTCCATCCTTGTTTTACCTTGATATACAAGACATCAGTGATTGTGAAGGGTTTCTACTTTATATGGTATTCGCTCAGCATATCTATATCTATATATATATATATATATATATGTTCAACGAAAGCAAAGAGTAATCTTTTAAGGTGAAATTTTCTTCACATGGTCCGACTCTCAATCCAAAAATTAACAAATTATTACAACTTATTATTATAATAATAAGAGTGAAGAAATAAAAGTGATGGTAGAGATATTAATATTAGGAAAAAATATGGACAAAAAAATAAATATTTTAATTTGTATAACGATTTTTTTAAATCGGATTAAATAAAATTTAAATTATAAATTCTAATAATTAGTTTTTTTGAAATGACATTTTAACCTATTTTGTATGATTGAGATGTGTATTAGTTTTATTCATATGAACCCACCACTAACATGTCCTCTTCCTAAAGCTTGATTGCATGTTCTTGACTGGTCAAGTTTGAAACTAATAATTGGCAAAAGGGACCCCAAATTTCTAGTCCGTTAAAATGATTGTTTTCAATGATATGGGTATCTTTTACCTTTCATCTTTATCCTATCTCACATATCCATGAAGGGAGATGTTCGAGAACACGTCGTGATCGAATTTTATGTACATTAAATTTAAATTTGATTTAAAATTTTAAATTGGCTTAATTCCCAAATAAGTGCCCAAACTATGCATTTTTTCCCAAATAAGTGCCTACAGTGTTTTTTACCTATCCAGGTACCTAACGTTACAAACGTTACCTTTTTAGGTGTCCATGTCGTCAACGTCATTAGTTTTTCCGTTAAGTGTCACGTGTCAACACCTGGTAATTTTGAAATTTATTTTTTTATAAAAAATAATAAAAATATTATTATGTTTATAATAAACCCCAACTTTTCTTATATTATAAAAAATCCCCAAAATACTAAATCCTAACCTTAATCCGTCGTCGGTACCTTCTCCGGCAACCACCGACGTCGCCGACGTAGTCCTTGATATCATCCTAATTATATGTCGTCATAGTTGTCGCCGATTAACCGTCGAAATCGTGTGGGATCATGATTTTCTTCTTATTGTTCGCGGATTTAAAATATTGATTTGTGGTTGATTGATCGTCAATCGATCACGATTTCATAGGGGTTATGATCACCGGGGGGAGAGGAGGCCGGGTGGAGCTTCTTCGATGGTAAATGGCGGCGATCGATGTGAGTTTAGGGATTGAAATGAAAGTTTTCAAAGTTTAGGGTTATTTCAAAATTTATGTTTTTTAAAATTTTATATAAATTTTTTAAAATTACCAGGTGTTGGCACGTGTCACTTAACGGAGAAAACTAACGGCTTTAACAGTCTGGGCACCTAAAAGGGTAACGTTTATAACGTTAGGCACTCGGAAGGAAAAAAAACCTGTAGTCACTTTTTTGACAAAAAGACATAGTTTGAGCACTTATTTGGGAACTAATCCTTTTAAATTTATCAAGTTAAATAAATAATTCGATCTTAAAACATATCAAATTAAATTTGAAAATATTTGAAATTCAATTATTTTTAAATTATCTCGTCCAATGAATATTTTTTATAAAATACATAAAAATTCATCTCGAAAAAATGTGTTTATTCCTAATTAAATTAAATTAAATCTTTTAGCAATATTATTGGGTCTAAATCTGAATATGTTTGGGCCTTAACTGTTGCTCTGAATTTAAGCACAAACAAAAAGAAAATAATCATGCTTCTGAGTTCATCTCTTTTTTTTTTGTTGAGAAAATCGCCTCAGTGACCAAAAATGCCTTATAATATACGATTTTAACCAACTTTGTTTGGATTTGCCAAAATGACCAACAAAATCGCAACGCGAAATAAAAATCGCAACGCGATCCCCAGAATCGCAAATCAGTTTCCAAAATCGCAACGCGATTCTTGACAATCGCAATGCGATAGTACAAATTCGCATTGCGATTTTCCAGAATCGCAACGCGAATATGAAAATCGCAACGCGAACACATAAATCGCAACGCGTATCCGTAAATCGCAACGTGTATCCGTAAATCGCAACGCGTATCCGTAAATCGCAATGCGTATCCGTATATCGCAACGCGTATCCGTAAATCGCAACGCGATTTTTAAAGCGCCATTATAATCGCTACGTATTTATTTTCAAATTACAAAAAACGAATATTAAGACAAAATCTCGTAATCGCAACTCATAACCTAAACCTAAAATCACAACTCAGTCCCATCTCCATCTCTCACTCTCTACGGCGAAATCCGTCCCCATCTCCGAAGATTTCCGTCCCCATCTCCGGCGAAATCCCTCACAACCATTCACGGTTAGAAATCCCTCACAATATTCAGAAATGGAAAATCAACCTCCGAGGGTTAGTTTTTTTAATTATTTTTATTTTGAAATTTTTGCATTATTGTAGGTTTTTCATACTGAAACTGATGATAAGTTTACTGGTCATTTCAATAATAGATTAACCATTTCACTTAGATTTCATTTCGCGTTACGATTCTCTCGTTGCGATTTTCATTTCGCGTTGCTATTCTCTCGTTGCGATTTTCAAGTTAGTATTTGTCTTTGTCTTTGTTCTGTCTTTTGGTTGAAGTAATGCAATCCATTCAAGTTTCAATTTGCAGAAGAGTCGCAACGAGATAAATGAAAATCGAACGTGAAAATGACTATCTGCAACGAGAAAAATGAAAATCGCAACGAGAGAATCGCAACGCGAAATGAAAATCGCAACGAGAGAATCGAACCGCGAAACCAAAATCGCATTGCGATTTCATTTCGCGTTGCGATTCTCTCGTTGCGATTTTCATTTCTCGTTGCGACAGTCATTCTCTCGTTGCGATTTTCATTTCAACCAAAAGACAAAACAGTGTTGCAAATTTTAGTTTCAAGAATAAACTACTACTTTTATGTTTATTGTTTTTGGTATATCTTCAGTGTAGTTTTTGGTATATCTAACTTGGTATGTTTATTGTTTTTGTAGAAATTTTTTTCGGCTTCATTGACATTAAGGAATAAAGTTAGCCTAGCCACTACAATTGCTTCGAAGCTTTCACCTGCACAAAGACAATTGTTTGAGGAAACCTGCTTCGGGCCATGGCTGAGAGTACAGCATCCGGGTGGAGATGCTAATTTGACCCATTTGTGGCTTCAGACCATGACATCAAATCTACCGACAGTATACAACGTGGTGAGGAAGAGATATGGTTTCATTTTCCACCAGCGTATACTTGTTTTGGGCGGAAGGAGTTCTGCTTAATCACTGGTCTACGATTCGGACACGATGATGTAGGCCGGTACACTCGTCATATCGCCCGCCCATCATGGTTATCCCGGGTTTTTCCGGATGAGTCAATGGAGAAGCCGAACCTACACGTCGATGACCTGAAAAAATTGTTTAATAAGAAAGATGGTTTCACTCGGATGGATGACGTCGATGTTGTCCGAGTATGCCTTCTACTACTTGTGTATGCCGGCTTTTTAGGCAGAGAGGCCAGACAACCTATTCCTCGGGAGCTAATAATATTGGTAGAGGACCTGAATGCATGGAATCTGTTTCCATGGGGTTCGTATATATGGAAAGCTACCTGGACTAAGTTGTCTACTGCCTTTGATGACCGCAAAAGTTTGCGTGGCGATGGGTCGAAATACACTTTGTCAGGCTTTGTTTGGGCCTTTAAGGTAAGAATTTCTATATAATGTTTCTAAATTATAATTAATTATTTAACAATTACTAATTTTGTTATATATTGTTTGTAGATTTGGATATTCGAGGCTTTCCCCAGCATGCGTACATATGCAATAAAAACGTCAAATGATATTCCCAGGGCTATTTCCTGGAAGAGGAAAAATCTGTTGGATTGGGAAGACTTAATACCATATGCGACAATAAATAATGTAAGTTAACACAAATACTTTCATATAATATATAACAAGTTATTAATAGTAGACGTTTAACTTTGTTTGATTTTTATATTGTTAGGAGGCCAACATTCCATTACAAAGACTGACACCCACGGAGGAAGAGCTTGCCACTGATTGGTGGCAAGCTAGTCAGAGTTTTTTTGATGGCACGGATGATGAGCAGCATCCACTTCCTCCAATTCGAGAGCCATCACCTCACCCAGAGCCATCACCCGATCGACCGACTATACACCTCTAGAACGAGAGCCATCACCTATCCCGTCACATCATCGAGCCTCTTCTCCACCATCACCTCATGATAGGCGATCGGTAAAGAGGCCACGACATTTATCTCCTTGTTCTCCACCTCCATGGGATGAGTTACGTGATGAGGTCAATGCCTTGCGTGAGGAGATCGGTACTCTACGCGATAACGATGGTGCATGGCGTGTGAGGTGTCACTTTACGTGGTGAGGTTGCCGCTCTACGTGAGATGATAGTATCGTTGCAGAATAAGGTTCATACTCTACGCAACGAGGTAAGTTTAAGATTTTCCATATTTAACTTAATGATAAATTTACTCGTAATTTCACTTAGATTAGCCATTTCACTTAGATTGCTTAGTAAATTTATTTGGTTGCTGCCAATTCTGCTAAACTGTGTATTCTTTAACACTGTGAAATAGTATTTGTCTTTGTTTTGTCTTTTGGTTGAAAGTAAATTTGTTCGGTTGCTGCCAATTCTGCTAAACTGTGTATTCTTTAACACTGTGAAATAGTATTTGTCTTTGTTTTGTCTTTTGGTTGAAAGTAAATTTGTTCGGTTGCTGCCAATTCTGCTAAACTGTGTATTCTTTAACACTGTGAAATGTATTTGTCTTTGTTTTGTCTATTGGTTGAAGTAATGCAATCCATTCAAGTTTCAATTTGCAGAAGAAGAAATAGTTTACTTTCGCAACACGAAACTTAAAATCGCAACGAGAGAATCGCAACGCGAAATGAAAATCGCAACGACAGAATCGCAACGCGAAACCAAAATCGCAACGACAAAATCGCAACGCGAAACCAAAATCGCATTGCGATTTTCATTTCGCGTTGCGATTCTGTCGTTGCGATTTTCATTTC